AGGGGTGAAAGGGCCTTTTTTGGGGCGTTTTTTTTCAATTTTCAAAAGGCAGCTCGGACGGGAATTTTCAAAGGGAAGTCGGGAGGTCCTGGCACGAAGACCCTGCTGCCTGTAATTTTGGCTTTGTAAGCATGCACAATGCGGGAAAGCGGTTGGGGGGGGGGGGGGTCCCGCGCCGTCTAGCGGAGATTGCTCGTCCGAATAAGGTGTTAGGGGAGCGAAAGGAGGGGAGCAGCGACTGGGCCGCCCCCTGGCTTGCAGAGTTCACATTTTCGGCGCGGAGTTGCTGTTTTGGTTTACTTGGAGGGCCTCCTATCCATCTGTGTCAAGATCTGAGGTAGGTCAATCTGCCGAGCCGCTGCCTTTAATAGAACACGGGAACACGTCATTTTAGTGCATTGTTACTGATATGAGACCTTATTCAAGGCGATATGTTCTTGTCGCCGGACTTCGTGTTATTTCTTCGCACATTGGAATCGAAGTAAGCGAAAATCCACGTGCTGTTATTCTCTAGCGGAAATCCAAATTTTTGACGGTAAATTCAGCTCTAATCGAAGAAAACTATAACAATTGGCCCCGGAAGACAAATGGAAACGGCATGGATCCAAAGATGTTGATCACTTTGAGAAGACAGGTCTAGTCAAATGACCATATTTCTCATGAGTCCTACGTAATTGATTGTACAGTATACGCGTTTACGGCCTGCTCCAAGCGCCATTCGTTTTTCCTTACACTCATGTGATTTGCTCGTACGTCGTTCCTGTTTTATGTACTTGATCATCTGAGCGATGGAATAGTACGTCATTCATGCAATTTAATCAATAAAGTCAATTTTTCTTTGTAAGAACGGGTACAGTCGCAACGGTGACTGAATAGCGATGAGTATTTTGTTAACAAAGCTTCATTGACAAATCAACATAACACATGCGCGACACTAAAGATACATATTTTATGCGTATATCTCAAAGCCACTAAGCACTTGTTTCCCAAACCAGCATACTTATGGTCTTGAAAGTTCTAACTACAATGAATTTCATAAAGGCACCCAAATAACATAACTGAAGGGAACACTACAGGCAGAAATATAATTTTGAATAAACTTTGTAGAATTGTTGTGTGTTGCGTTGAATCATCAAATCCAGAATGCTCCAGTTCACAGGTTATCGATTCAGATTGGGTTTAACGATGTTTTGACTCAGAATCTTCCGCGGCGTCCTCCAAATCTTCTTCCACCCATTCTACCGAATCCTCCTCTGCGACCACCCATTCTCATTCCTCCAAATCCTCCTCTGCGTCCCATTCCACCGAAACCGCCTCCACGTCTTGCGAACATTCCAAAGCCGCCACGGCCAGATCGTCCACCCATTCCACCCATTCCACCTCTACGTGACATCATTCCGCCGAAGCCTCTGCCGGAGCCACCAAATCCGCCACCACGGCCAAATCCTCCAAAGCCACCGCCACTGCGGCCGAATCCACCATAGCCACCGCCACTGCGGCCGAATCCGCCATAGCTGCTGCGGCCCATTCTGCCATATCCACTTCCGCCAAATCCACTACCGCCATATCCACCATAGCTTCGACCATATCGGCTGCCTCCACCGTATCCACTAAGACCGCCATATCCTCCACCGTATCCTCTGCCAAAACCACTTGACAGTCCACTGCCAAATCCTCCAAAAGAATTGGAGCCAAATCCAAATTGTGCTGTAGCATCAGCAACTAGTAGAAATAGAAGAATACCGGCCAAGCCTTTCATTTTGGAAATGAAAGACTTTTAGACTGGTAGAAGTATGAGCGAGAACCGCGTGACGCAACTTATAAGGAGAAATTCATCTTTATAAAAAGTTTGCCGCGTCATCTAAGAATGTGCCACTGAGCGAACCACAGTTACAGAAAAACTCAAAAGCGAGTTTTCGATGATAATACGCTGATTTTTGCTCATTACTTGCTAGTAATGATAGATACATGTGTTCAAAATTGCAACGCAGACAACAAGGGAATTGGAGATCGCGAAATTTGGCGCTGAACATCGCTCTTGATATTATTATTTTATGCCCGAGTTCGAACAAACTGCATGCATTTGATAATTAATGGAGCAAAAACATAGTAATGGACAGGTTTTTCTCTCTGTTAACCCTTCACTTCGGATAATGCATGTGTTGTCATAGGTACAACGCCAGGCGACCAACTTGATAACGCTGTTAACAGCGTCAACCTTTAACCTATTTAGAACTATCAAATTTTGACAGTACGAGATAGGCCTTGCTACAAGTTTCGTTATTGGAAACAGCATTTGAAACAGAACTCATGCTAGTGCAGGCTATTGTGCAAATAAGTGATATTACAGCTAAAATATGACACTTTAACTGCTACATGTTTCAAATTCAGAAATGCAGGAGTTTCCTGGCATTTCAGTGCTGAAGTCAATTTTTGACTCAAGATTGCCTGAATTTAGCTTTTATATCTGTGCTATGCAAGGTCTGAAAGTAACTTAAAATGTGAGTAAAAAATGTATTTACTCTTCACCCCAACTCAACTTTTCGAACAGAATTTTTCAATTCGAGCAAGAAATCCAGTTCCTGCATCATCTTGTAATCACAAGCACCTGCTCAAAATTGACTTTTTATACTGCTTGGATTACTCTCAGAGCTTGGCAGGACGGGTGCGACTAAAAAGTGTTCGAGAAAAAGCAAAGGGGATATCGTAAATGCACGTTTATATGTACTTACTCTTCCAACGAGTTGTCACACCATTGACTTACAAAAACACAATTTTGCTAGCGCGTCATTTACTGAAACCCAAACTTTGGATAGTGATTAAATGCCTCGTTTAACGATAACGATAATTCCGAATCTGAAGCATAGACGGACAAGGGCTGAGGATAGCCTAGAGCAGAGTGCTTTGGAAGATTTGTATGAGTGAAGGTTGTGACAAGCTTTCTAAAATTTTCCCATTTCTGAAAAGTGGAAAAAGACTCCCTTGCAACGCACAGGTAACGATATGGCTTCAAACTTGATATTTATATGGTTGGTGGAGAATAAGCGAAGCATAAAGTCATTCTAAAAAACTTTAGAGATTGAAGGGTTTGCCCAGCTTTGTTTTCATATTCAGGTGGCAGTTGGTACCTTGATGCCAAGGCTACTCTAGTGTCATCCTAACGGTGGTAAACCCTCCAGCCTGACGGTGGCAAACCCTCCAGCCTGACGGTGGCAAACCCTCCAGGTGACATAATATTCTTGTTGCACCTAATCTGTACCGAAAGTTCATTATATAGTAACATTTTAGTTTATAAACTCCTCCTCTCCTTTTTGCTAGGGATTGAAAGAGCAACCCCGTCATTCGGCAGTAACCCGGGAAAATGGATCTTTCAAAATTTGCGTACTTTAGCAAGTAGGCCCCTCAAAGGCAGGGGAAAATTGCAATTGCGCGCTTTCTGTTCCTTCTTGGCCTCGTGGATGCGTTGAGACCAGAGCAGTGCTTAAAAAGTCAAAAAATGCTTTTTATAGCGTTCTCCGGCGGCCTTCGAGGTTGCTTGAGGGGGCTGGAGCGGATATTCTCGCCAAAACAGCGACTGGCTGTAGGAGACTGTAACACCGCTCATTTTGGCGGCAATTGGCTGATTCACTCAGGCAGCCAATCGCGACTCGGATGCGAAAATCTCCGCCTCAGCCTCCAGCAATCGACCTTTTTGACTTTTCAAGCACAGTCGATCTAAACGCATCCAGCAGGCCAAAGAGGAACATAAAGCGCGCTGTTGCATTTTTTCCGAGACACTGCCTTTACCACATCCTATACGCAGTCCCACCTTCCAGCTCATGGGTTAAGTTTTAAAATCGTGCTCTAAAGTTTCACTAGTTTTGCCCACTTATTTAATTGGGTGGTTATGCCTTGGGCCTCAAAAACGGAAAGGCAAAGGCGATTTTGTTTCACAGGTGTTCAGTTGCCACCCTCAGGCCTTTACCACTCTCTTCAATGATACCATACCTCAAATAGCTAGAGAGTTGTTCTTGCAAAGTACGCAAATCGTTAGGTATCCGCTTCTGAAGCATAGGGGCAGGCTTAGCTACAATCAATTGACAAGTCTTCGCCCTCGGCTGGGTACCTAACACCCATCTTTGCGATGTTTGGGCGCGGGCAAAGACCGCGAATACAATCCGTTCACAATTTCATGAAGGTTCTCTGTACTTCTGACGCAGCAACTCAACTTTTATCTTCACCAGTAATGTAAATACCCATTAGCAGGGTTCAACAGCCGTAGTCGTGCAGTGATTCACAAATTTTTTGAATCTTTTTCCATCATTCATTTACTGTTCTCTTTAAAACTCAGGTAAGTGTTATGACAAACAAAGGTTGTTTCCAAGAGATTCCTATCCTGTTCACAGAGACCTCGAGAATCATAAAAAGATCATGTAACAATAGTAAAATGTTTCAACACTTCTTTTGAGTAGCTAAATTGTACGATTATGTCATCAGAAAACCAAAAGGTTCCAGACGAGAAATTTTTGCGGTCTTTGATATTTGAAGGAAATATGCGTTAATGTTTCAAGTAATTACAATGTGACAGATAACCCCAATAGGCAAAATTCACTTCGGAAAGTATACAACTTTTCATCCTAACGTAAAAATATTTGTTTAAACTGATCATTCTGCTCACATATAGAGCATGCTGACTGGCTTGTGACTGAGCCCATCCAGCGAAAACTGGTCACTTACAAAAAAATTCACTTCTGCATTCATCTTGCTTTTAGTGCCACTTTCGGACACAGCACAATCACGCAGAAATGAGAGTGATTCAATGGTCAAAGTTCGCTCGCGATGCCTTTGGATTCGGTAACGTCATTAATGATTATTGTCTGTCATTGTCAAATTTTGGAGAGGATCTGCCTATTCTGAAAAACAAAATGTGGAGCATATGAGATCTAATGCCTAAAACGGTAATTCAGACATTTCTTTATTTATGTGAGTACAACGTAGGTGCATTTCTTGCGTTAGTTTTGTTAGTCGTCGAGATTCTTCAGTATTACATCGAGACGTTGTAGTTCTCCTCGAATGCGATCATTTTCATAATTATCTTGTATGTAACCTCTTTGCTGAAATTGGACAGGTCATAGGGGGCAGAAAAAGTCTTGATATGAGATACCCTTGACGTAGAACCTCTGCCACAGCATCCATAACACAAACCTCTCCTTCCACAACAGCAATTCGGATATCTGTAGCAATAAATCTATTAGGGTGTAAACTTTACATATAAGGCCAGGCAAAGCTGGTACTGGGTCTTACATGGAGATCATAACTACTTAGGCCTAAACTAAGCTATTGCCCAGGCTGATAAAATGCATTCTTGGCCCAGAAATCTAAATCCAAACTCTGCCCACATTATTCTGTCTTTCGTACTAGAAGTCGCTAATTGGTCGCCTCGGAAAGAATACGGTTTGGGCAGAGGTTGAAAGTAGATTTTTATGGCTATGAGAGAATCATATGAAATGCCGTTTGCGAGGAGGATCGATGGAATTTCCATTAGTTTTGCCTGCAGAATGTCTTTCTTGTAGCTCATTTGATTACAGATTTGTAAAAACTCAAGAGTTAGAGGAAAAATCGTTCAAATTGGAAAGAACCTTGTTTTTTTACCAAATCTAGCAATCTAAAGTTTTTTCAGAACGAGGGAGTAAATGCTCGGATCAAACCAAACTGCTTTTGAGCCGCATTTAGCTATCTAATAAGTGTGACATACTGTCTGTCTTTTCCTGTCAAACCATAAATTGAAGGCCTTGGAGCATCAAGTGAGTAACTCTCCTCATATAGCCAACGTTTGATATGGCACCCGTTTCGGACAAAATAAAAAAATGCTTGTAAAACTACTACCACTAAGCGATTCTTTTTAACGACAGAAAACTGACTTGCTGATAACTATACGTTGAGCAGGATAACCTGGATCAATCCCTTTTTCGATAGGAACCATATCGGGAACACGTTGAAAGGCTGGTTTCTATAAGAGGAGAATTTTTAATGTTTATAATACATTTATACGAATCATTGCGATACCTCTACCGCCGGTTCTTCCATAGGTGGTCTCATAAATCTCTCTTCTTCTCTTTGGCGCATGTCTTGTTCTCGTCTCACAGCTGCTGCTGTAAAAAAGTATCCAAGCTTCCAAAAATTGCTCATTAGGGGCCGTTCCAACGCCGTGCTAGAGCTGTGCCTACTAAAAGCTCTCACCTGCTGCTGCCTGATACGCTGGCGGCTTCGGGCGTCTCCTTTTTATCGAACTATCTAAAGGAATGTTGAGTTTTACAAAAAGTGCAGATTTATTCTCAAAGGTTATCTTGAAAGTCCTTTTATCTTGACCTGGGCATTTGAAAGATAACTTCAGTATTTGTTCTGTGCCGTACAGGTTTTTTATAGTAATACACTTTATTGCCTTACGTTTCGGCTACACGCCGTCATCAGAGGCCTGAAAGGTGTCAGTCACAAGGATGTCTGCTCTTGACCGCCAAACACCTCTTCCCACTTGCATATTCGATTCATCTAGTGTGGAAGAAGGAGGTTGGGCCATGACTTTCACTCACCAGTGTATTACCGATATTGCAGTGTGCAACCGCTCTAGACGAGCCCGTTCGATTGTGGTGACACAAGAATGAGCAGTGTGTATGTCACATAACTGCTTATATACGCTCAGACGATCTATAGCTCGCAAAACGGAAGATACGGCATGAGATCAGCGGTAATGGATACTGTTCATTCTTGCTGTTCATTTTGGGATCACGTGTAAGAATGAAAGACGCTTTCAAAGCCTTTCGCGCAGATATTTGACTTTCATAGGCTAGTATTGTGCACCTTATATTGTAATCCGTTCCTTCGTGCTCTACCTTTCTGTGTTTACCTAGTGGGCTCATCATGCTCTGTTTTCTTTTGCCAGTTAGATGTTCATTCAAACGTACGCCCAATGGTCGGCCGGTCTCACCAATGTAATTGGCGGAACATTTCAAACAATGGATTTCGTAAACGACACCACATTTTGTGCAGTCTCCGATTTTTCCGTATGGGCAGATCGCGCAATCTCGTAAGTTACAAGCTTTGTCGTATAGTCTATTGCGGACTAGTTGTTTCTTTATGTTGTCGCGAGGAATATTTACTAGAATAATGTTATCCTCGAGATTCGCTTGTATCAGGCATCGCTTGCTCGCCATAGCGACTTTTTCAGAGATAAAGGGCAGGCATAAAGGTACCTTGTTGGTGACCTGATCTTTTAGTTGCGCTGTTGCCTTTTTGTTTCGTCTGGGTCGTGTTGTATAACCATTGGATAACATTATATCGGCCGCCAATTTTAGTGATTCATGCTTCTCAATCTCACCAGTACTGCTCTTCGCTGCCGTTTTCAATGAAGCGTCTTTCATTCCTACACGTGATCCCAAAATGAACAGCAAGAATGAACAGTTATCCATTACCGCTGATCTCATGCCGTATCTTCCGTTTTGCGAGCTACAGATCGTCTGAGCGTATATAAGCAGTTATGTGACATACACACTGCTCATTCTTGTGTCACCACAGTCGAACGGGCTCGTCTAAAGCGGTTGCACACTGCAATATCGGTAATACACTGGTGAGTGAAAGTCATGGCCCAACCTCCTTCTTCCACACTAGATGAATCGAATATGCAAGTGGGAAGAGGTGTTTGGCGGTCAAGAGCAGACATCCTTGTGACTGACACCTTTCAGGCCTCCGATGACGGCGTGTAGCCGAAACGTAAGGCAATAAAGTGTATTACTATAAAAAAACCTGTACGGCACAGAACAAATACTGAAGCTATTCTCAAAGGATTAGTTTGGAAAGTCAGAGTCAATAAATCTGTTCAATATTGAAGAATTTGCTCTAGAAATGGTGACTCCAATAACTGGTGTGGTAATTTTTAGAACTAACCAATGTCGATAGCTGTCAACGGAGCATCGTCTTCTTTCTTTGGACGCTCCTCTGGAGATCGCATTGGCTCGAATCGTACCTGGTCAACATCTTGTCATTATGACTACGTCTACGATTGCCCTGATTCGATTGGCAAGCTCCAATGCGTGCCAGCGCCGTGGTAGCGCCGTGCTAAGCGCAGGTGACACGAGTATTGCTCAATTGAATTGAGCAACAGTTCCAGCATGCCAGGTGTTGGAATAGCGCTGGCTTGGCAACTCAGCTTAACGTTGTGCGCAACTGTCCATATGCTGCCAGCCAGCAAACGCAAATTTAGATCGGCGCAACGCAAAATGCGCTGTTTTCCGCTACCGCTGCTGGGCCGGTCGCGGCGCAGTTTGGCGAGGTATGTGATGGCTTTGTTCCGGGTGAAAGAACGAAAACCTCAGTTAGACACTGCCTCTCCGAATGCTGGTTCTAACACGATATACGGCATTAGAGCGAAAGTACCAGCAGTCCGAGGAAGCGATGTCTATTTGAAGTGTTCGTTCCTCTACCCCGTTGTCTCAGGTGATGTGAACCAAAAGATTTGTAAACAGCTCGTCTCTCAGTTATATGACGGCTAGCAACCAAAAGCAAGAGCTAACTTAAGACAGCTATGACCGCAAGACGTAGTCACGACTGTTGAGGTTAGAGGAGGTTGTCGGCGATGGATCACCTCGCGCGGACAACTGATATGAGCTATATCAAGATGAAATGCATGCCCAATCCCTGTGACAGATGTGCGTGTGGACGAGCACATCGGCAACATTAAGTTCTCTAAATGCTTAAACTATAAGTTGAAAGCAACTTACATCTCTTTCTATGACCGGTTGCACAGCTTTCAGAATAGCCCCCTAAATGCTAGATGATAATTTTTATTGTGAGGCTTTGAAATGGGTGTAGGGCTTTTCGCACGATCATAATTCTTTCCTCGCAGGACCGCCGTCACGCGCGACACACCCTGCGGCGGCTTTTGCCTAAGCGAAGCTAGGGGAGGAAGTTGCGGCGTGTGTGACGTGTTGAGACAAATCAAAATCAGGGTAGCGCTGGGTACCGTTCCGTGCGAAAAGACCGTCTCCCCTTTGAAATACATCATTCTTTGCTAGAAATTAACTTGCTCTAAATTCAAGATGCGTTCTTTATAACATGGTTGAACTCATAATTTCTATTAATCTTTTTCGAGCAAGAATGAAAGAAATGTTATCTACTTACGTCTTGGCTCGGTCTGGTCCTTTTATCCTGGAACTGTCGTGCAGTAATTAATATGTTAAAGGAAGAAATAAAAATAAACTATTCGTCTGATTTCTGTGTGGGGTTGGGGCTTGGCTCAGTTTGGAGATTTGGAAAGAGATTGGCCTTTTGGGGTTGTCGATTCTGCTCAAGATTACGGTAATTTTTTGGGGCTGTTTTTGATTTCAAGTTGGGTGGATCACGAGGAAACAGCACTCATCACACAGTAAAAAAACAATTTTGATAGTATGCAGATTCAAATTTTTTTTCTAAAAAAATTCTATCCTCTAAAAGTGGAACGCACTGCCGGTAAGAAGATGAATACGTTATCAACATATTAGTTCTTGTAATTTCCGAAAATTTCCTCCTCGGAGATCTTTATGGCACACATCTCCGCTCTTGCTAAGAACTATAAAATAGTCCTAAGCAAAGGATTGCCTATATTAGCCCATACGCACAAAATGACCACCTTCACTTCTCTTCAACCGCTCGCGCTACATAGACAACAGTTGCTCGAAGGCCAACTGCTATCACATATCAGGAATTATCAAATGTCTTGTTACTTTTCCAAACACCCACCTTCCTCATCGGTGAATACGGAGTGCCTGGAGCCTCCAAATTTGCTATTGCTGCGTCTTTATCCGGTAAAGTTTTGGCGCTGGGAACAGTCATGCTCTGTGACTTGGTCAATTGTTCTCGATTATCTGCTATGATCTCAGCTTTAGATCTTCTTCTTGGTCTTTTTCTTAATTTTCTGCTTCTTGATCTTCTGCTCCTCCTCGACTTTCTCCTTCTCGACCTTCTGCTTCTCGACTTTCTACTTCGCCCTCTTCTCCTTTTTCACTTCCTTGATCTTTTGCGACTTCTTCTGCTTCTGCCGCGCTTACCACTCTTTCTGCTTCTTCTGCTTCTCCTGCGCGATCTTCTGGACCTTCTGCTTTGTCCTTTTCTACTTCTGCTATGCCTTTTTCTCAATCTAGACCTAGATTTGCGCGAACGAGATCGCCTTGAACGCTGAAGAACGCGAAATTAGGCATCTGTGTCTAACGAAAGCTGTTCACCTTTACCCCCTTCCCTCTAGAAGCCCTTCTTCTTGAAATCATCTTCACATTTTGCTTTCTCTGACACAGGAAAGCGACTTTTTAGTGTCTTTCTCTTCTTCCATGTATCTTTCTATATCCATGACCAACTAAATGCAGAAGAGGAGTTAGAGCCTAAGACCGCAACTCACTGACCCTCCTCTTCGTCCTTCTTTCGCCCTGTCCAGGGCCTTTGTTCATTTCTAATGCTTGTTGATTCATCACAATGAAGTAAGTCTAGACGAGTCGAGTTGAGAGGCAATGATGCACCCCGCTTTTTCGATTGTTGTAATGGATGAGAATGGGAAGATTTATCGATGTCGTATGCATAAATTTATTGTTAAGCTCCATTTCAAAGTGAGCTTTATGTAAAAAAAATTTGAGATAGTTGCCTTGATTATTGTTCCTCTCCAAACTCTCCATCTCTTTTTTTTCCTCTCAAAAACTCTTAACTCTCATCTCTGTAGAAACAGACACAATATGAACTAATTTTTATTTCTTTTTTTTGACAATATCAGCTCGAATTCTCATCAAGTCTTGAGGGAGAAACTGCTTTGTGTTTCTCGAGCACTTGAGCGCGAGCAAATGACAGATTACAGTAGACACATCTAAATACACATTGTCTTATGAACACTTTTTGGTGGACGAGAAATTTACCTATGTTTCCTTTGCGGAAAATGTGTTTGTTCATGTGCTCTGAGATTGCTACGATCAGCGAAATTTCGGCCACAGAACGAACAAGCGTACGGTTTCTCACCTGAATGAAGTTATAAAACGGGTAGATTTTGATTATATCTCCATTAGAATTATCAAAAATTTCAAAAAGAAGTATATAAAATACGAGAAAAATCTGCTTATAAATACCTGTATGTGTTCGCTGATGACCTTTCTACTGAAGCTTTTTCCACATTTCTCACAAACGCATGGTAAAGAATGTGTTTTGAGATGCATCTTCAATGCACCGGGTGATCTAGAAAAGTACAGCACAATAAATTATATTCCAAGCCCTCTCAATTGTTCTCAAAGTGTTTTGAACAAAAATCCAGGATTTACTTGCTCACAAATGCTTCAGTCAGAATGAAAACGAGTAAGTCACTCAAATATAGCAAACGCAACCTTTGATTCAACTGACTTGGCTCTTGGAAGGCGGGGCTTTGTGAGCTAATTAAGGCCGCTTTAGGTCTGCGTTTCTCCCTCGCGCGTGCACTCTGATTATTACATAGCCTTGGTTAGGTCATGAAGCCCCGCCTTCAACGGGCCAAGCCAGTTGAATCAAAGAATATATTGTTTAATACTAATAATAGATTTGCGATAAGGCTGACTGAAATACAGTGCGTGAAAAAGGTCACTGTGATAAATCTTAATCTTCCAGAGTTTTATAGGTCTTACTCGGATAGCAATCAATTCAAAAGTAGCGTTGATCATTGGAAAAGTGACTACAAAACCAATTGTTGTCCCGCACATCAAATGTACGGTGATTTTAGGTAATTTTTTGTGAAAAATGATGATGAGAGAAAAAACTACCTACAACGACTACTGTGGTAAGCTTACCAAGATTGCAAATCCTGGTAAAAATGGTTTACAACGTTAAGAGGGAAAAGAGCAGCTAGAAAGTGTACATGAGTAGAGTACAGCAGTTTTTTCTGATCCGTCTACTAAAGACCTAATCGAGGCTTCCGCTCACTAAAACAGGGCTCGTCACGAGCTGGCACCAGGGAAATTTCAAAACGAAGTCTCCTTTGATCCTGAAAATTCCGTACGAGGTCCCTTTTAACTTTAAATCCTAAACGTAAAAAACATTCAAAAAAGGAAAAGCCGACTAAAATGTCCAATTTTTGTGTCTTTTCGGCCACAAAACGATATTCTCTTTGTTTTCCGTTCCAAAAGCGATATTCAGCTTGACTCTTTGCCGGCTGTGACGAGCCCTGCACTATAATACAGTTTTACAAAAGAAAAATTACAATTTGATTCTATGTTTGAAGTTTGAAATAGTAATTTATTATTAGAAGAGATGTTTTACAACCTAGAAAAAGTCAAAATCTTGCGCGATGCAAAAAAAAGTTATACCTGCAGAAACGATACAGTTGATTTCCACAAATATTCTGTCGAAATTTGCTTCATTTCCCCCAACAGGAACTTAAAATCCCCACAAATCACTACAATCAAGTTCGGCTACACTCACGGCACCTGTTTCAGAGCTTTCCGGTTTTCTTTGCGTTTGTAACACCCAGACGAACAGGTGCGCGCAGGTGTGCTCTCCTGCATTAAAATATTGCCACCCGGAAAAGACGAATCGAGGAGCTCCTATCGGATGAACTTCAGTTTTTTTCCGTAGCTGACTACACCTACAGTATCTGATGTCCATCTTTGATCTTTGCGAGAAATATGTTCTTTAAGGCAGGAGTTGTGTACAATAGGAAGTCAAAATGATGAAGAAGATCAAGAAATTAAGGAAAACTTACAGAAGAGCTCATATTTTAGAAAAGTTGAGAGACTCAGAACTCTATCGACAATTTATATTAATAAACAGCCTTCTACTGTATCTCTGATTTCAACTTTTTCCTTCTAAACAGATACTAAGGCTTTAGTTTGTACTCTTACTTGTAATGCTTCTGGCAATGAACACATGTTTGATCTACTCGACCGTCCTGATGACATTGCATATGCCTTCGAAGGCCAAAAAATGTGAGGTAGGATTTTGAGCAGAGCGGACACTAAAAATATTATGTTAGCAGTGATTCAAAGAATGGAGGAAGGACTTACTTGCATTCTGTCCATTGCATTTGAAGCTTGTGAAGTTTCGGGAGAAATGAGGTCTTCTATGTCTGAAAGCAAAATCTAGATAAAATAACTGAGTGAAGCTTTCTGTGAAGAAGGTTACATATTCTGCTACAATTTATTTGGAATGGACTTCATTTATTTTGTTAAAAATTGTGTTTTTTTCTTTCACGATTGTAGATATACATGTTCGTAAACAGAGTAGTTTAGTATCATCTCGTTTTTTTTTGTTCGAGAAAATTAGCACACTAGCACAAAAACTTGCAAGAAGCATAATTCTAATTAGGTAGTTTAAAAGACTTTCCACTCCTTTAGATTGCGAAAATTAAATTGTATAACAAACTAGTATTATTACTCTAGTTAGCTTACTATTTTCCTTGTTTCAAACTCATGTATCAAATTTTCGTACGTAGGTATCAAGGCAATTCAATTTATTATATTTACCCGTGATCAACATGACGCAAGACTTAGAAATAAGAACGAATTATGTTTGATTTATGCACGGGCCTGCTGAATATTTGAAAAAAAAACAATGTAGAAGCAAAAAATACAGTAAAGATTATATCTTATATATAAAGCTGAATGTCTGTTTGTCTGTCTGTATGTCTGTCTGTCTGTACGTATGCTCCGAATAGAAAATTCCATTTCTGAACCGATCTGGACCAAACTTGGCACACATACACTTCGGGCCCCGGCGGGTGTCATAGGCTACTTTTCGTCATCGATCGATATCGATTTTATCGATTTTTTGCAAAATTTGAGCTACGGGGCTGGGAGTTGGCACAGGGGGGTAATCGAGCATGCTGATTACGAATATAATAATTACAGGGCCGGGCGGAGCCGGGTAAGTCAACTAGTAGGGATATATAGGAAAGAAGAAAGAATATCTTATATATAAAGCTGAATGTCTGTTTGTCTGTATGTATGTATGTCTGTATGTATGTATGTACGTATGTTCCGAATAGAAAATTCCATTTCTGAACCGATCCGGACCAAACTTGGCACACATACACTTCGGGCCCCGGCGGGTGTCATAGGCTACTTTTCGTCATCGATCGATATCGATTTTATCGATTTTTATCGATTTTTTTGCTGAGTTCACCTACGGGGCTGGGAGTTGGCACAGGGAGGTAATCGAGCATGGGGATTCCGAATACAACATTAGTTTTCAGGATCGTCCATTACTTTTATCGATTTTATCGATTTTTTTTGTAAAGTTTGACCTGCGGGGCTGGGAGTTTGCACAGGGGGGTAATCGAGCATGCTGATCATCCCCAAGGGGGGTGATCAGCATGCTCGATTACACCCCTGTGCCAAATTCCAGCCCCCTAGCTCAAATTTTCAAAAAATCGATAAAATCGATAAAAGTAATGGACGATCTTGAAAACTAATATTGTATTCGTAATCTGCATGCTCGATTACCCCCCTGTGCAAACTCCCAGCCCCACAGGTCAAACTTTACAAACAAAATCGATAAAATCGATAAAAGTAATGGACGATCCTGAAAACTAATATTGTGTTCGTAATCAGCATGCTCGATTACCCCCCTGTGCAAAATCCCAGCCTCGCATGTCAAAATTTACAAAAAATTGATAAAATCAATAAAAGTAATGGATAATTCTGAAAACTAATATTGTATTCGGAATCCCCATGCTCACTTCCACCCCTGTGCCAACTCCTAACCCTGTAGGTGAACTCTGCAAAAAAATCGATAAAAATCGGTAAAATCGACATCGATCGATAACGAAAAGTGGACTGTGACACCCGCCGGGGCCCGAAGTGTATGTGTGCCAAGTTTGGTCCGGATACGGCGGAGCCGGGTAAGCCAGCTAGTAGAATATATAGGGAAGAAGAAAGCATGTGCCTAATTTCGTCGTGCTATTGTCAGGTCAAAAAGCATTAGCTACCTTTTTAAACAGACATTGCTTGAGCAGAAAAAGCAAACTCACTTTCAAATATGGATCGTTTACGTAAGGAGGCCATAGCTTTGATGAGATGGTGTGATCACAACGTACACTCACACTCACAAACCGAACAAGTGGTTGAAGACAGCTGAGGTGATCAAGTAATGTGTTTCGCACTCACCTGTGCAACCTGATGGCCACAAGTGCTTTACACTGTGTGTGTCTCAGTGCTTTCCCTCATTTCCCTTTGCCTTTATCGTGGGCATACGGTAGTCGTCAATGTTTCTACCCACACGGCTGTGTTTACATCGTTGAGATATGTTGCTGGGCTTTTTTGAGAGAAAAGCTTTTCTTATTCTTTTCATCACTGATATGGACCATTTTTTACAGTAAACCTAAACTTTCAATAATTCTTGCTCATCGGATATCCACTTCTTAAATCATTATGCGATTGCTCTCATGCAATGCCCTGGGAGGCAGCCAATATGGACTAGAGTGATGCCAGCCAAATGCATTGCGTAGATTTCTCCAGTTCTAAGATATTTGAAAATTTGGAAAAAATTTTGTTTAGGATTATCTTAGCACACTGTACCTCTGAAGTTGAGTCGTCCTAGACATATCAAACTTTTTCACTCGAATTATTTATGCCTGCTGGTTCAAAAAGCCAAAACATACAGTTTTTTTGCAACACGCGCAAAATGAGCCAGTTTTAATAACTGTATCCAAATCGCACAAACCATCAAAATTCCTAAAGCCGATTTTGACGCTTAACCTTCACACAAAAGTTTTGACAAAGAAGTTTGCTTCCACCAGAATATGCAAACTTTTAACACAATAAAGATAAGCTAAAAACATTGGCAGATTGATCAGCTTTTTTGGTATAATGGTTTTGATTGCGTACCTTTCTATTAATGAAGGTAATCTTCTGCCGATAAACATTGTTGATCGTAATTATAATTGCATATTGAAAATGACCGTATTATATTTTCATGTTGATGAAACATGGTGATGTTCAGCAATTTTAAACGTCAACATCAACGTCAACGTAGCATTGTTGTTCAGCACGGTTGATTTTGGCCCGGGAAGAAGTAGACAAATTTGACAGGCTGCACTAAAGCTGGTCGCTACTATAAATTGCTTACCACTACTTTTTCAGAAGGTATTGTAAGCTATGTTTTGTTGTGATTGTAATATTTAACTGTGATTTTAAATTTGCGACATTTAAGGCTTTGACATTTTTGCTCGAATTCACCAAGCGTTACCTTTTCTAGGAATGAGCTGCTTACAGAGTCTTCAATTATTTCTCCCGGTAGATAGGCGCTTGGATAACTTTGCGTCACTTCATAGGCGCTCGGCCTCACCCTTAGTTGAGCAGGTCGAGGTTTTGCTGAAGCGCTGCTCTAGAAGGCCATATCGGCAAGAGGTGCAATACGGAAAAATCTCAGCAAGTACAGGCCCTGTGAAGCACTCAAACCAAACAATCTCTCGGACCCCACCGCAGGTAACTGTGAAATTTCTGGGGTTGCGGGGGACACTCTCAACTACTGCGGCTGCCAAATAAGGCGGAGCTTGAGGCGGTCCCCTCGAGGTGACGTCACAAAATTCGAGGCACGGTGTTCTCAGGGGAATTTAGTAAAGTCTTTCTCGGCAATTTTCCAAATTTCCAGACTGCCGGGGAAACTAATAGCAGCCAATTATAATTATACGGCTATAGCCATCAAGCTGACACGCAGCTTGCGCTATTTTCGAGCTCCCGTGTCAAGAATACTTCAAATCGTTTTTGCCACTTTCTTCTCCGCGTTTTTTTCCTCTCGTGCTTTGGTTTCTACTTCGCTTTATTTTTCTCCGTTCAGGTAGACATTGCGGGCAATCTCAAACCAACACCACGGGAAACCGCACTGCTTCAAAGAAGGAGAAGCTATGGCCTTTTGATTGCGTTGAAGGACAAGCGTGTTAGGACTCGATAGCTTCACCAGAACATTCCACATCAAGGAGTTGAACGTCCGTATACTCAAGGTATCGATATAAGTTGAGACAACACATATTTTTGTTTATATGTGTTCCTATATTCTAATTCGATTTCTCATACGTGTTTACAGGAGGGGCTCTTTATCACCGCAACTTTTGGTCTCGCTTGCGCTTCTACCATACTTTTTCTCGAGTCAGCAAACCACTTCAAACTCCTTGTGAGTTTGTTATCTGTCATCACATTCGAATCGAGCTGCTTCAGTTTTCAGTCAAACCGCATGTCAAAGCTATCGATATGGAGTTTTGCCAACAATTTTTAAGTTTAACGCTAGTTCAGCTTCTAATATCTGTTTCCAAATGTAAATAGAAGTTTATGTTTGTATATATCCGGTATGTAAACCTACACTTATTCTTTTCCTTTCCTTTTTGCTGTTTCCCATTATCACTAGTACAATACCGTACACTTTCTTCTTTCCCATACTCTTTGTTTACAGATGGCACAACGATAGCTCGCCGCGCAATTATGCCAAGCAGAGGAGGAGTCTGGCGAATCAGTGAAGAACCGACGACCAGCGAGCCACCACGTCTTTGGGCTCCAATCTTTCTTTCTTGTTGTGTTTCTGTTTTTTGTATTGCCGGCTTGATATATTTGCGAGTTGTTTATGTTTACTGAGATAAACACATCTCGTGAGATTGTGTTAGGTGCACCTTGAGGCGTTCTTTCGCGTTAATATGGTATCGTTCATGTGAGAGGGTGACACGATATCCATAAGTGGTAGCAGCGAGTGCGGCCTCGTAGTAGCCCGCGACCCAAACCGACCTTACCTCTTGTAGGAATTGAATTCCTTATGAGAGTAGCTCATGAGATGACCGGTTTAGCCTCAGCCGGGGGTCAGTTTGATTGGAAAATTGTGCAGCGTAGAGTCTGGGGGATGGCCACCTACTAAATTCAAAATCTCTCTCAATTTTCTCTTCAAATCATCTGCCTTTTTGATGTCTTTTGTTGGAATTTTGTCGCTGCATGGTAACAAACAAGAAATGAATGATTTTTGTTCTTCACTCAAACCTCGTCGCCCATTTGGGTGGAACCTGGGATCCAGACAAGTTGAAATAATTGGTCCTTGTTGGCCATTATTCACCAAAAATGTGTGATTTGCAATTGAAAAGACTATTCCAAAAATGGTGATATTTCTGTTGATATTGTTGTTTCCTTATTACTCTGGGTGTCCTGAGAAACATATCATTTGTTCCCCAGCAAGATTCTCATAAGTACCACGTCATCTCGCTGCCTTTCGCACTTTTGAACGTGTTAACCTCGGGCACTTCCGTTGAAATTTCACGAGAAACGCGTCAAAAAGAGCGAAAGGCAGTGTCGCACCACGTACGCACGCTGGTTCACATGGGAACCTCTCTGGGGCGCAGACGGTACGTCACATCACTCTCATATCATCCAAAAACCCTAGTCTTTTTATAATCACGAGTGCCCCCCCCACACCCCCCGTTTCCGAGAGGCAGGAGGGCCAAGAGAACCCCCCATAAGCGACGGATACGGCGCATCCCACTTTGCAAGAAGGTTTTTGATGGAGGGTAGGCAAGGAAATCCTTGCAGTAGTTGGCTGGAACGTTTGCAAAGCTTTGGCCCGGGAGGGGAATTGAACCCTCCTTGGACTAGCGAGAAACAGACTCGATCGCCTTGCATCATCCGCCGCTTATCAACAGGTACCTTCCTGAGCTAATTGATCCTGGTGGCGCCGCTGACCTGACGTGGCGATACGATGTTAATAGCTGGCAGGAACCGGCAAGCTCAGCGAACCGGTCAATACATGGTAAGAAATGTGGCACTCAACAGATATCGACCGTTCTACTCCAGCCACTTACTTTTCTGCCATTCGATCCACCACGAGGACCTCCAGGGTTAGGTGAGTTTTTATCATATAATAGATCCATTGTTTCCCATAGAACGCTGCTTTTTCTCACTTCTTGTTTAGTTGCATTTTTGAGGGGAATGCACCATTTTTGCATAATCTTACTTTCTGCTCATTCATGATGCATTCTCGCTACTAATTGTTCATAACATTAGACCTATCATTGTGCAAGTCTTTTTCACGTGTTGTTTTCGCTATGACCTTTCTTTCTCGTGCACTTTCTATATTCTTGATCGCAAGCTCTCGTATAGCTTACAATCAACAAACTTTACACAAACTCTGCGTATAATTCTCTTACGTTTCTTTCCCCAAACTGCTCAGAAATTCAAATTCGCAGGCGTAAAATTTTTCTTTATGCACATTTTTCTTTGTCCGTGCCCCAAACGGAGTTTCATTCATTCCATCTCGGTTTTTCGCGGCTAAATCACGCAACAAATTTCTCTTTGTCTATCATAAACATAGTCTGCGTGCAATCTCAAGCATTCCCATTCAATGTTTGAATTCCCATTCATGATCTCACGCGAACTTTAGTATGTTTTCAAGCGCGATAGCATCTTTGTCCCTTTGTGTGAGAAACTCTCATACAAAGCTTTCCCCTATCTTGGCTTTCATCGAGCACATGTTGCCGATGGCAGAAACAAAGATGCAGCGCGCACAAAGAGCACATACCATCGGGGATAGTATATAATAAGCCGACTTAGGAGACGAGCACCCACTCCAACGCCAAGGATCTGAAGGAGCAACGCCTTCTCCATACTCAAGCCAATATCGCTCGCATCAACACCCGATCTCGGACTACAACACAGGACAACTACGACTCTGCTCGATCATCACCTCCAGAGACGGTAAGTCCAGTTGAATCGGCATTGACTACCGGTGAAGGTATGTTTCCAACGGAAGTTAATGTTCTAAGTCAAGCTTATAGCGGCCCTGCCCTCGGGAAGCTCGCGCCCAAATATGTTGAATACTTCTTTATAGCACCCAAGATTTTAATGAGTGGCATCGCCAGTTTGAAGACATTATGCGCAATTCTGTCGTACCTCTGCCGGAACAACTCAAAGTTAATGCACTTCACGCTATTTTGAGAGGCGACGCGCGCGATATCATTGAAGAAATGGCCCCGAGGACAGAAACAATTATGATAAGGTAGTTTCGTTTCTACGCTCGCATTTTGAGTTGCCATACTCTCGCGAAATAGCAAGACAAGAACTGGCGGAATGCAAGCAAAGAGCCAACGAAGATGTGGACTCTTTTAGTAAGCGCGTCCGAAAAGTGGTCCAAATTCTAATGAAAGGGGCGCCTAAGAACATTGTGCAAGATAAACTTTTGGAAGAGTTTGTTAATCGCCTAAAACCAGATATGAAATGGTACGTTAAAGCGCAAAACCCCAAAACTTTCGAAGATGCTCTGGTAAAAGCAATCACATATGAGTCTTTATGCAACGAAATGTCAGATCTAATGGTATTTAATCCAGATCTACGTACATACGTCGCAAGGAGAGAAACCGATGACGTCAGGAGAGACTTCAACCGTGAAAGGAGAGACCATCCAACCAACAATGACGGACCGAGAGAGGTAAGATATTTTCTAATAGATCTAATAGACCATCTTGGCCGCGTTCATCGAATGCGAATGTGACTTGTTACAAGTGCGGAAAAATCGGTCATTTTGCTAATGTTTGTCGCTCTAGTATGCCTTCTCCTAACAAATTTTCAACAGCGGCGACAATTTCCAATAAGAAATAATCCCCCGCCAAATTCGAATGCTAGACAAAATCCAAGAGAGCGTATAGATTTAGACCCCTTGCGCAACGTAATTCAATCCTGCATCAGCGATCAGATAGTTAAGACAGATCCAATGTGCTAGCAGTAGAGCAGACTCCAGCGCCGGATGTCACTAATGCGCGCACTCAATCTCTGCTAGAGGAAAAAGATGCTCATATTGCGGCGCTAATCGCCAGAAATAACGCGTTGGCAGACATTGCGTTTGCAACCCGTGAACCAAACAGTTCTACAGACGGCGGAGAGATAACTCCTCGCACATTCTCTTCCACACCCAATCATTCTAAACTCACATCCACATGTATGTTAGTTCTCGCTTTGACTGGTCACGCATCTGCATACGAATTACCTCCCGCGTACTTATGTTCTAACAAATCACCTGCCACGTACTGGAAAATACCATCTGGGAGCAATTGTACTAAAATTTTGCCTAGCTGGTCTGCGATAGCACGCCCAACGAAAATCAATGTGTTTAGACCAAACACAATTAGGTATAAGAGCACAGCCAACGTTTGTAGAATAATTACCCAAACAGTCATTTATTCCGTAACCTTTTTTGGTGCTCGCTCACAGGATACTGTAACGAAAGAGCAGACCGTCTCAAAAGGGGTGTGTCAGCACATGATCAATCACAAAGCTTGCGCTCATGGCGAACTTTCAGCAGTAGATAACGTTTGGAAAACTTTGAATAAAATTGAAATTGTTTGGCCTTCCGCTCCTTTCCATTGTTGTTCGGACTATACCATGACCGTTTCAAATTGTATTATATTCCAGGCAATGGTATATGGTTATCACGGATCTCCTACGATCGAAAGCTCCATAGGACCACTGGAGGGATGCCGATATGAGGACGGAGCCTGTAAAACGAAGGATGGAGCAGCCGTGTTATGGACACTGAAATCAGGAAGAAATGTAAGTACGTTTTGGTTTCGCCCATGAAAGGCACTTTGGTAGATAGGGTATGGCTAAGCGACTCTAAAGAATTTGCTCTATCCTTTCCTTCATTTGATTCTCAATTTCTTGATTGTGGTCGCTCTCTTGTTCCTACTGAACTGACCGATACGCTGCTCAATTCTATTCTCCCATGCCTCGTCAAAAAAGACACATTAAGCCGACAGATTTGCAACAAGTTGGCCTCGCAACTTCTGACCAATTAGCCGCGCAGTTATTAGCAGTCGAGGACAATATGCAAGATTCATTGACTATATCCTTTCATCATACCATTCTGTCCTTGTGCAAATCTATGAATTCTTTAAGCATGTCTTTTGCAGCCGCTATCCTTGCTAATCCTACTGTAGCAATGCGAAATATTTTATAGCGTTCTGATATCAAAGCGAACATTATGGGCGAAAACATTGTCGCTACGCAAGCTTGCGCTGTAATTCCTCCGTCGTTATATTCTTTGGTAAAATTTAACTCTTCTTGCTTTTCACATCCCTCCGTCATTGTTAACTTGCCTAATAAATCTCAATGGAAAACATCTATCGATCCCACAACGGGAGTTTTGACCAATAAGTAGACTCTATTCCTTGCTCTGAACATTTATCATTTGAAGCCCCTTGTAACAACTCTATTCTCAAATTCTATCCATCTACATATGTAACCGGGGGTGTCTATTGGTATAACGGTTTTAACCGGATCGATAGAAAACAACGACTACACGGATTGAACGACTAATATTTTATCTCAGAAAACGGCAATAAACAACAAGAAACAAGAATGCGTAACTTGAACAAGGCTTACAACGAAACGACGGGCTTTACCCTCTTGACCACTTCGGCAGGCTTACTAGTTACTTTCTATCTAAGGGGGAGATCCGCCTCTCTTCGACAGAGTTAGCTCCCGCTAGCGCTTCCTCAGCGCGGACTCAGAGACTCCCCCTGACTTTCGGTATTTATACCCTGCCGAAGGGGTCAGCGCGGGCTTTTCTTCCCGCCACTGAAGATTGGTAGGTCGGTGATCCGCGCCCTCTGACACATATACCTTCGAATCTATGTCTTCTTCCGATATCACCACTCTGCAACTCTCTAGTGATCATTCACCTAATTTCGTGAAGCCAGCTCTTACTCTATTTCATAATTTGGTTATTACTAATCTAAGTGAGTTCATACCTGAACAAAAAAAAAACTGAATTGTGGGCAGCAATCGAAATCATGACGCAGTTTTGAACGCACACTTGAGCTCCTCTAATCCTAATCCTGTACAAAAGGTTTCAAACGTTAATTTCATTACTGCAACACCGCGTAAATTACTCAGTTACGTATTGGAGTACATCTATCCTCTCTGGGTAGTGTTCTGTTGTGCCATTGTTACCTTTCAAATAACGCGCTCTCATATTTTATCTTTCGACCCAAATTCCAACCAACCTTTTGCAATATTTTCGCAACTTCCAACCTAGTAATCAAAGTAATCCTTCAAATTACCAAGTCAATGACTCCAATGCAATACAACTAACAACGATTAAGCGTTATGATTTCCCTAAAGTTTGCCACGTATCCCTAACACACCCGATTACAGCCGCACATATTAGGTCAAAAATCAATGACATAAGCGTATCAGCATTAATTGAGACGGGTTCAAACATAACATTAGCTTCGGATGGGATATGCGCAGCTCTAGGAATATTCCATCTTGACAAACCCCACATGTTCGCAGCATTAGGCATGGCAGGCACTCCTATCCCAAAGGCTTGTTCTAAAACTCTCAAATTCGACATAGGTAACACACAGTTACACGCGGTTCTCCATTTCATTAAAAACCATTGAGTAACTAATGTAGACTCCAATTATGAAGTAATTCTGGGTCAAGACGTTTTTTCCAAGCTACACCCAATGACCATCAACTATCAAACAAAGCAAGTGCATTTCGGTAGTACCGTACCCCCCCCCCCCCCCCTGGTGCAACCCCTAAAAAGAAAAGCGATCTGAGCGAGTTAGAGTACCCGATTAGAGTGAGGGATACGATATGCCCAGGGCTCGGCACGAGGTGGCTAGATGAAAATGGAAAAAACGAAGTCCCCCTTGACTTTTGGGAATTTTTACGAAGTCCCCTTTGACCCTCAACCAAATTTCCTCTAAAAACCTGAAAAATTCCCCAAAATCCCCCAAAAAACGAAACGTCGACTAAAAAAAAAGGTCGCCGTCGCCATTTTTCCGTGTCTCTTCGGTCACAAAAACGAAACCCCCTTCGCTTTTCGTCCCAAAAACGATACCCAGCTTGCTTGTAAGCCACCTCGTGCCGAGCCCTGGATATGCCTGCAACCTAATAGCGAAAGTTTTGTAGTGTGCACAGCCCCGCCCACAAACTTAAAGAACGACTTTGTCTTGGTGTCACAATGTACAAAATTAAATGAAAAGGACCTCGTAGTAGCTCCGGCCATAATCAATTCCGAGACACCATATATTTTGGTGTCTAATCCAAGCAATCAGCCGGTAACCCTATATGCAGGCATGCGTATAGCTAATGCCGCTGAGGTGGCTCAAGAGGGTCTCACGGTAACTGAAGCAGCTGATACGCAAGTTACTCCCGCAATCTCATGTGCCGGCGAATTACCTTCCGATGACCCAAGTTATAGAATTGATCTTGACGATAGCGACCTAACGGAAGCCGAGCGAGACCAACTCTCAGAACTTCTCATTGAGTTTGCGGATGTTTTCTCTAGGCATCAGTACGACATAGGTAGCTGCACTGCAGGCAAGGTACATATCTATACTAACAGTGACCCGCCCGCACGCATTCGCCCTTACTGCGTTCCAGTAAAGTATCGCGAAGAACTACAAAAGCACGTAAATATGCTTCTAAAATGCGGCGTAATGAAGGAATCGCATACTCCATGGGTTCATAATTTAGTTGTAGTGCGTAAAAAAGACAATTCCCTGCGCATCTGTTTAGACATGCGCCGCCCAATTAATAAAGTAACTTAACACTCCCCGATCCTTATCCAATCCCTCGTATCGATGACGTGTTAGAGAAAATTGGGGAAACAAGTACTACACTACACTAGATCTAGCTAGCAGTCACCTACAACTCCCACTAGATGACAAAAGTAGCTATAAATGTGGCGTAATAACTGAGAATCGGGTGTATCAGATGACACATCTGCCATTTGGTCTAAAATCAGCTAGTAGTTATTTTACTCGCATAATGACCCGCGTGTTAGGAGGTTTAGAGGATAACGTGCTTAAATATATTGATGACATTCTAATCTATAGCAAAGACTTCCCATCACACCTCAGCGCCATCCAAAAACTGTTAACCCGCTTGCGCGAATTTCACCTAAAAGCATCGCCGAAAAAGTGCGTCTTTGCCAGATATCAGATCACTTTCCTGGGTCATACGGTAAACATGCATAGCTACTCACCTGCAGAGGCAAATACCCGATCCATAAGAGAATTTCCCACTCCGCGCAATGTCAAGGAAGTCAAGCGTTTTGTGAGTATGGTAGGATTCTTTCGAAAATTTATTCCAAATTTTGCAAATATTGCTGAGCCGCTCACTTGACTAACGCGTAAGGATAACAAATTCCAATAGACCGACAAGCAGGACGCCGCCTTTAGAGCTTAGGGACGCGTTATTGCAAAAACCCATTCTTGGGTATCCAAATTACGATAGACCGTTTCACATTTTTACGGATGCCAGTCAGGTAGCTCAAGCGGGCGCTCTAGTGCAGGAGCACGAAACAGGGCCAAGTAAAACTATGCGGAGCATACTGTAGCCGCACTTTGAGCGATAGCAAGCGTTGCTGGCCCGCGGTACAAGTAAAACTAGGTGCGATTATATTTGCGTTGCGCCAATTCAA